GCCGTCAACGCGCGTGCAGCTTGCTTGGGCTTAGTGGAACGGTGAGAAGGGTGAAATGCGAAAACATCTCATCAAATTCGTGCGCGCTTGCACAGCTGACCAAAGGCACTCGTGACTATATACCACCGCCCCTTTGCGATTTAAGCGTGCCTCATAAAAGGTCCACGTGATGAGCACTCTCCTGTGCGCAGACAATGCAAGCAATCGCAATCGCAATCTTGAATCGTGAATGCAACCACACCACACCGCTCGCCAGACCGTTTCCTACGAGTCAGCAACCGCTACCCATTACATGCCCACATCGACCTTCCCAACGGATTCAAGCAAGGCAGATCAGTGCCACGACGAGAGACTGAAGCAGATGAATTGTTCTCGTAGATCCTGCAGAATTGGTAACGTAGGACGGGGTGGTATGATTTCGGCGAGGATTGCAAATGAGCTGCTCGACTCCGAGTGGACATCGGGCAAATTTCGGGAGATGGCGGGATCAGGAGGAGCAAGCTACACGCTTCACAAGTATTTCAAGACTTGCAAAGAGGATGACGCGCATCTGCTTCGCCGCTTCATGGGTGACGCTCAAGTGCTCTTCATGAAGTGGGGAACACGGTCGCTGGCACTGAGAGACCAATTGATGCTCAGCTCGCGGCACTCCAGCCTATCCGTCACCGTTCCAAAAATGTCATCCCAAACGCGACTTTGTTGACCAAAGTTGGCCAGCTTGAGCTTCTTGTCGGAAACGGCAGCGAGATAGTGCTGGTCCGTGTCCTCGTTGTTCTTGTCGAACTGGGTGAGGCGGGGCAGAGGGTTGATGGGGTTCAGGGTGCGGTCGCCAGTCCACCTGACGAGGAGCGCCGTCGTGCAGGCTTCGCTGTGTACGCGAGCTCCCGAAAGGCAGTAGAGCTCAGTGTAGAGCATGGCGCAAGTAACGTAGAACCATTCGTGGAAGCCAAAAGTGATGGGCACGTAGGAGAAGACGGACATGGCAGCGAGGTGAAGGCCCACGGCTCGCACAGGGTCCAAGTGAGAGGTGGGACGGGATTGAAGCGTGACCATGCCTGGCGTAGGGTGGCTGTCCGTAGCGCGATGCTCGCCCGCCATGTGGAGCGCACGCAGTCCGGGAATCAGAGAAGAGTGTTGAAGACGGTGGTAGGCGTAGTAGAAGAAGTCAAAGATGATGGCGTACAATGACATCTTAAAAGGCAGGGACAAGCTGAGAGAAGGTGCACCGATGCTGCTGCGGTAGAAGTAGGCTCCAGCCGCGATGCGCGCAACGGATGAGATGATAAAGGTTGCCTGTAGAGTGTGCCGTACCATTCGTCAAGTCTCCTGTCAGCTGGCCGTGATCGCATTGCATCTCCATTTGCGGGCAAAGTTTGCACTCACTGATAGACTAGAGTAGCCGATCGTCTCGGCTTTCCTGCCGTTCCGCTCAACGTCACGGTCGAGGTAGCCCCACTTGTGAGAGAAGGCGGCCAAGAATTTTGTGGTGTTGAGGCCAAGGAGGATGTAGGTGGCCGCGTAAACGGCAGCAACGGTCTTGACGGTCCATTGGGAGGCCTCGTCCGCCCCGGAGGCGGGCTGAGAAGAAGCGGCAGTCTGAGAGATGTATTGCAAGATCATTGCGGGCAGCACGTGCTTGAGAGTGAAGAATAGCTGATCCACTGGCCTGAAAGCGGGCAGCATCCCTGCGAGACGTGCGGCACCGCCATTAAGAGCGGCGAGGGTTTCGGGAGACTGCTCGCCCTTTGCACCACCAACAAGAGTGATGGTGCCAACGGCTGAGGGTGCCGCAGTGGCAGTTCCAGTGTTGGGTGCAGGTGCCATCTTGGCGTGAGTAGCAGCCACGGGACTCATTTGAATCGTTTTGGTATGTGAGAGAAGCAGGTGGCGCAGTGGCTTGGAATGGGGGAAATGAAAAGCTGTGGATAGACGAGATGGTGAGAATGAATGAGAGGGAGGAGGTGGTAGGGTGATGGTGCAGGGTAGCGGAAAGACTCATGAAGGGAACTTCGCAAACATAGGGCGCCTATGCTTCGGCTTAAGAACTTCTGCGCTAAACTTGGGTGAAGCCGCTTGAGGAGGATCTGGACGCTACAGTATGTACCACCACGCCACGATCAAACTTTGCCATCGTGCCGCTGTCGCTCTCTAGCGTCGAGACATTTGACGCTTGACGAGAAAGTCCAGGCACGTAGGCCATGGGCCAGCCATATGTGAGTAGATGAGACACGCGTGGCAGAGCATCGTCGGCAAATGAAGATCAAAGGCACGGCACGGCATCACCCCCTCCC